TCGAACTCCTCGAAACTGCCGTAAAAGAAATGAAGCATCTTGCCGGTACGAATTATTAACGTTTCGTCGTTTTCCTCCATGAGGGGAAAATCGTGATTGATTCAAGGAAAATTCAAAGAACCTGGAACGGATAGATCGTACGGCTGGATCGAAGGAAAAGGGTGAGTATGCATGTGCATGATTACATTTGTTTTCTTCTGCCTTGTCTCCGTTGTCTTTTTGTTCTCATGCTTCACGACACTGCTCACGTTCGTGATCGTTGTTAAAATTCTGGGTACAATAGAAATTAATATTTTAAATTAAGTGATAGTTTATCATCGAAAAATTTACGAATGGTGTCATTGTAAAAGATCAACTGCCGTAAGGGGTGAGCCACCAGTATTTTCGGTGAAATTCGAATGCAGTGAGTGATGCAGTGTAACTAAATATGCGTCACAAATAATAATATTAATTGTATACACAATTGACAATCGAAAAACCATTTGTTTGGATAATACCGCGCTACTTAATGCGCCTGCGTTCTAATAACATCTATGTATTACATACTTTTTGATTAAAGCTTCTTTAAACGCGTTTTGACATGCATGGTAATGCAATCGAATTGTTAATTTCCCACCTACATCGTAATAACAATAACAAAGATGCATTATGATCCTTTAAATATTGGTAGAGATTAATTAATAAAAATAAAATAATCTAAAGCTAGAATTCAACTAAAAACGACACGTTAATGGTTGAATAAATGGTGGTTATGGGAAGTAGATTAAAATAGCGTATGACACATATACGGCTAAATATTCATGGCTCGTTTTGCTAAGCAATCGTCATGCATGCCGAGCAGGAAAATTAAGTTAGTTGGGTGTCTTGTATCCGAACGAAACACGACGACGCGAGAAGAATAAAATGTTCACATGATTGATTAATCTACGATCAGACGAAAGGAAGGATCCACTTATTGAATGGAAACTCGATCTTCCTGGTTCCTGTTTGTCGCGCGTAACAGAACACCGTATATTGTTCATGAAAAAATGAATGTCAATTTGGATCCCACTTTATGATAATAAATGAACCTTAAAACGATTATTAAGCGTTTTACTAAACCCTCAATAAATTACTTTATAATACACTAATATAACTATACATTTTAAAGTGGCAAAAATTACGCGCAGTACACTTTTAAATGTAATTCCATTTTTCTAGACAATATTTGCACAATTTTCATTCAATTCTCAACATTTCGTGTCACCTTCATAAAATTATAGTGAAAAGAAAAATTAAATGACATTGACGCTTCCATAATTTACATTAACCTCATTCAAATTACAAATGCAAAAATCGGTCGTGAACTGGACGCATTCCTTTTTACTGAAACGCAAAAGAATCCAATCATCCAGATCTTTCTGTATTTTGGCCAGCAAGTGCTGCAATTCCGTGAAAGTGGAACTCGATTCTCGGCTTGTATCAAAATCGTCGTGGATATCACGGTGTAAAAAGGATTTCGAGAATTAAGTGTTCCCTTAGTCAACGACAGGTTTTAGAAACAAGTCTAATTCTTGTTTAGTTGTATAATGCGTGCGCGTGAGTACGTGCCTGTGTGCGTAACCCGAGTGGCATTGGCTTGTCCGTAAGGTTAGGTGTTCGGAGGATCGCAGTGGCGCGTGCAGGGGCTTGACAACCACTGCTTTGGAATTCGAGTTCTTTATTTTTATGAGAGGCAACGTCGGAAACCAGCCTCTTTCGAACCCTTCTCACCTGTTACATACCGCCGGCATTTATGCTACCATTTAACCAGAAGTTAAGAGAGTCCATCCGTACATAAAATACCACAAATATCCCGTCGATGGACCGGATGCGTGCTTTTTGTCCTCACGATTTCAACTCCCATGAAAAATGCCTTGAACTGCCTCCCGAGGATTCACGAATTCATTTCCTCATAACTCGTCAAGAAACAAACATTCGTGGAGACTTGTATATTATCTTGGGAAGTTAAAACATCTTAACACATATATTATGTCTCCGCCACAAGCAACGTTTCTCTCTTATTGAACAAACACGGTTTCTGCGGAACAGAGAAAATGTTCACGTTAATTCCGTGTATTAAAGTACTCCGCGTTGGCGTGTGGAGCATAGTGTAGCCTATGAATGGATCTACCTACATTTAAACGTGTGTTAGCCAATGAACAATTTCCATCGGCTTCAACGTGTCAACACAACTCTGATCGTCACTTGCGGCGGTTAGCACGTGGGTGGAAAGCGATGTGCGCAATGAACGACGCTTTTCGTCACCGTATATGGTTATTTTCGCGTTGACGTTGTAGCACTTTCATCCTTTCATCATTGTCGGGACACGAATGCACTCTAGTTTCTATTTTAATTAATTGAACTTCTACGAATAACTTGGACATTTTATTAGTTATCTTGAAAATAGTTGACAGGTACTTGACTTATTCTTTTCAAGAATGTAGGCGGAGGGAATCCTTTTTGCGCGCACCTATGTTTCTCATACCAATGTCGTACTTTTTTTAAATAAAATAATTTTAGCAATTAAAAATGGTAGCTAATCACTATACACTGGAAGACAAACCATGATTTTGTACGCTGTTTCGTTTCCCTCCATAGCCCTTAAAAATGACGACGATTGACGAAACCTGTTAGCGCGGCAGATTCTTTGAAAACCGAATCGTATTTACCAACATAAATCCTGTTATATCGCGTTTCACTGGGACTGGAATGCGCGACACATTCGGTGGTGGAATGACGAGGGACATGGACGTAGGGAGAAAAGGGGGTGGCATGTTCGTGCCAAAATGACGAACCATGATCGAAACTAGAATGAATGCGTTCTATTTCCACGTGAACTCGCCACGTTCTAAACTTAAACATGCTTGGCCGGCATTAATTTTAGTGAGGTCTGTCTCACTCTTTCTCTCGACTGGCGCCTCGAATCTCCGCGAGTTTTTGTCCCACCCCAAGAACCAGGTCGAAAAAGCGACCACCGTGAAGAGGTATTTCGACTAACGTAACAAACTTCTCTCTTCCTTGATTGTAGAATGTGTCAAGATGCAACCTGTGCCCTCCCTCTGTGGCGTCGTAACCGTTCTCCTTCATGTCCTGGCCAGTCTTACTCATGGTGAGCTTCTTTTTACATCTATTTAGTTTTTTAAATTGTAATTTCTGAGCTTTTATATTTTATTTTATTAATTCCGCTTCAACGTGTCGATAGGACAAAGACAGGAGCCAGGTGTGTCCTTCATCAGGCATCCTCAGCCCCTGGATGCACCCATAGGTGATGATATGAGTTTCGAATGCAACCTAAACCTCGGTGCTGATCATTTCTCCTGGCGCCACAGATTACTACACTCTGATAAGTGGTTGCCAATTTTTCACACACCCAGCAATGGTGGAAAGATATCCAAACATGTGGTGAAATTTGACAATGTGTCAAAAGCTGGGGATTACCGCTGCATAGCTTATTATGGTAAATTCTTGCACATCATTGAAATGCAATATCTATTGCAATATTGAAACTATATAATGTAATAACTGATTGTTGTTTCTATATTCTTATGCAGGTTCAAGCGGTTTAGCTTCTGATCCAGCAAGATTAACACTTGCTATGTTACAGAAGTTTTCTGATAAGAGTGACATTGTTATAAATGTTCCAGGGGGGAATACTGTACCTATAACATGTCCTGTGCCTTACTCAGCTCCAGAGGCCATTGTTCAATTTTATAAAGACAATAATCTTATACAAAATGTTAATATAGTCGGTAGCAAGACCATGGTTATTGAGAATGTTAAAGTATCAGACAGTGGAACCTATCACTGCACTGCTAACAATTACATAAGCTCGCAGATGTACTCTAGTAACCATAAGACCATCCTAAATGTACATACAAATACCAGTTTCCAGGCACCATACTTTGTCAAACAACCACAAACAGAGTACAAAGTTCTGCGTGGTAAGAACGTCACTTTGGAATGCTTTGGCGCCGGTTATCCAGTACCTTATGCCACATGGAGCAGATTAGGCAGTTCTTTGCCATCAAACTCTGTGAAAACCTCAATTGGTCTAACCATAATTAACGTCCAGCCGGTTGACAGAGGAGAATACGATTGTATATGGAATAGCAATGGTGCACACGTAAAGTCTGTGATTATACTGAAAGTAATGGAGGCCCCAAAGGTGACCAAACCGCCAAAGGCGTCGACGTTCTCTGAAGGCGGAGAACTGGAGCTCTCTTGCATGGTAACTGGTGAACCACAGCCAAAGGTCGAGTGGTTAATCAATGGAGAATCCCTTTCTCCTAGTGATAATGTGGAAATTAAAGGTTCCACGCTCCTCATTTCTGAGGTTGAAAAAAAACATGCTGGTATTGTCCAGTGTGTCGCCAGTAATGAGTACGGTTCTCATTCTGGTTGCGATTTGCTAAGAGTGAATCCTAAGCAGCACATTGGAGCAACCGAAGTGAGACCAGATTATGGAATCTCCAACTCAAGGCACAAGCATACCAGAGGTGGAGGAAGAAGGAGGAGCAAAGAGGGGAAACGCAAGGGCACTGGTAATTCGCAGTACAGTGCTAACATCTTTAAATGTATTAGTTAATTTTATTTCTTGTTTATTATGTTTTCTGTATTTTTTAGCGGTGCTGGTACCACCGAATCAGCCCAATGTTACAAGACTCTCAGATGTATCTGTAATGGTTAGATGGTCGGTGCCCGAGGATACGGGGTTGCCTATTCAATTCTTCAAAGTTCAATACAGAGAGCTTGGCCAAAAGATGAATGGCAAGCAAGCAAAGTGGATGACTGCGAACTCAGAGATATCTAATCATGTGAGGTCGTTCGAAGTAACCGATCTTCAACCTGACCACACCTACAGATTTAGAATAGCCGCTGTGTACTCGAACAACGATAACAAGCTTAGTCCTAACTCTGTGCGCTTTCATCTGAATAAAGATGGCGGAATAGAGTGCAACAAGATGCCTATACCTCTTTTAACGAATACTGAAGCTCTAGGGCCGCAGCAAGTGCTCCTTATTTGGCAAAATCAGGATAAATCAGCATATATAGACGGCTTCTACGTATACCACCGGGCTTCCACCTCAGCTGGGGATTATGTAAAGACTACTGTGGAAGGGAAGGACTCTTTCAATATAACCATTTCTCATCTACAACCAGATACAACATACGAGTTCAAAGTGCAAAGTTTTTCTGTGGGTGCTGCCTCAGAATTCTCACAAATTCTCAGACAGAAGACAAAGAAGCCTATTATTGCAAATGAGCATAAAGATCAGGATACCAGGACAGATCATGGCAGCAATTTAACGTTAGACAGTCGGGTAAGACCTGCAGATGATAAGAATGTGAATATGTACGCTATAATTGGTGGAGTTCTCGGTGGATCGACTCTTTTGGGTGGGTTAACTGCAGTAGCAGTGGTTTATAAGAGGACTAAGCACAAACAGAGCCGTGAATCTTCACAGAGTGAAGGTAACTTCCAGTTTTAGCAATAGAGTATTTTACAGAAGTCATATGAATCGTATAGAATAAGAAATAAATGGGTATTTAATTCTCTTTTTTTTTTTTTCGTTTTTAGGAAAACCTATAACAAATGGAAGAGTCATGAACGGTGGAGTTACTGACTCCAAAATAAACATAACTTCGAATCCATTAGCCGGTCTCGATACGTCAGAAGATATAATACAACCTAAGGTCGGTATTTGTAAATAGTAATATCAGTAAGATGGGTCTGTCAGAGGAAAAGAATGACTGAGGGCTGTGTCTATTTTAAAAACACACAAAATTATGCATCAGAGTTATTTCGTATTTAAAAAAAAAGTTACAATTGTCTACGGTCATTCAATTTCCCTATTCGAGTTGAAAGAAGTATACTAGGCGAACGTAAACACAATCTTAGTCGCGTATGTGGCTACCTCTGTACGCCTTTCCGATAATTTGTATCGCAACCATTTGTACTGTCGTGTGTGTGTTCTGTCGGTTTGTAATCCTGGGCGGAGTCCAATCTTAAAAAAGAATTTCAACTAAAAACTTGTGGAAAAAACGCATCATATCTTTGTCACTTAGATCATACACTACTGATATAGTCTTATAAAATAGTCTTAATATAATCAGTAAATAAAACGCACCCTAATTGGGTACACAAATAAATCTAATCACACAGTGTCTATAGATATAAGTGCTCCATTGCCAGCAGAAATTTTATCACGTTTAACTCCCCTAAACGTCCATCTGCTCTTCCGCACACTCGATAAATTCACATGTTCAGGCTCTAGGTGTGAAATTACGGTGTCTAACTGGACCCTCAAGGTCATTAATTAATTTGATGACCGATTAAGTTCTATTTCGATGGCTAGTAACTTGATACCGAGTCGAATAACATCTCTATCTTTTTCTTTTACATTCGCATTAATAATGGACTCCGTCGGGTTACAACGGTACGCCTTGAAAAAATGAAGATAGCGCCTTTTTCACATCGTGCTTCGGTCCGTTCTATTTTTTTTTCTTTTTTTTTTTTTACAAGCGACTACCATTTTTTTCCTCCGCACTATCGCACGCGCGACTTTACCTGTATTTACATTCGACTAACTAATTTCTGCTTTTCAGAACTATTTCGATATATTAAGGAGACTAGTCTTTTCTAGCTTTAGCAAATTGGTCGCGTGCTGCTCTTTAAAAAAAATTCTACTCGCATCTTCTCTGCACACTATATCTCTGGAGCCGCTTTTCTTTCGTACTTTCCGAACACCACACACGTACGTTACTTACCTACTACTACACTGCTGTCGTACTCGAGTGAGATCTGAAAGAAGCGAACGAACACGCATGTTTCTGCAACAGAGCGGACAACAATCGCCGATGGAAATGGCCTCGTTTCTAAACGGGCAAAACAACAACAGCAACAACCATAACAACAGCGACACCGCTGGAACTGACCAGTGACGCACACGTCGATATACTGAGAGCCCACTCTACTACAGGGATCACACTGCCTAATCGAGCAACGTCCCTGCGAACAACCATTTTGTGTGTCGCGTTTGAAATTATCTTACGGTACCAACATATATTTCCAAATGTTGCGGTAGACTTCTATAAAATACAGTATTCCAACGGTTCATCTAATAGTTATCATAATCTCATAAATTTGTCATTTTGTGGTGCTGTTTTAAAAAATTTAATTTTCGGATGTTTTATATTTCGCGCCAAACCACATGATGTCGTTTTCAATAAAGCGGCACAAGTGTGATGAGGATATTTACTGTTACAGTAAATCGGGGACGACTGTATCGTTTTCCGGTGCGATAGAAAATCCGTGAAAAAAATATGCACGAATGAATTATTGCTTCCAATGATGCTTCTTTTTTTAGTGAGACTTTGAACTATTACTTATTATATAGATTTTAGTCATCTTTTAGGGTTACAACGCACAAACTGTTACAAGACATTTACAGGGTGTCGTATAAAAGGTATGCTCAAGTGCTATCGACCGAGATCGATACCTTATCCTATGCATTCATTTTTAAGTTTTCTTTACATTTTTTTATTTCATGCGGTAAATATGAATTTTAACGCTCAAGATAGAATAGGAAATTCGTGCTCAGTCATGAAGTGGGTATAATAAAATTTGTAAAGTACCTGTTCGACGTCTTCGATTTCACTATCTTTTAGTCTCTATCATTTTTAGCTCTCTTTCGCGCTTTCTTTGTCTCGTACCCACTTGATGGTCGATGATTAACCAGTTTGGATGTAATTATTTTTTTCCCCAACGTTTACCTTTTTACTGCATACGCATAACAGTTTTATAGTAATTTTAATCCAGGCAGCTTTTACAAGTTACGTTTGTTTCCTAATTTAAATTAATTAGCGTCCATTATTATTTTTATGTTGTACATACGCGAGACATTAGTGATTACGTCTAATTAAGGGGCGAATGAAGTTGTGCCTGATGAAAAAGACAGCTGTGCTACGTGTTTTATCATCATCATCATCATTATCATCATCAACATCATTATCGGTGATGTTGAAATTTTTTGGAAAATCTTGGATTTCGATGAGATGAGAGTTTATTAGAATTTTTTGTTTTTGTTTTTCAAATTGTCATTATATCGTTATCGCATGAATCATGATTAATCATGTATTATTATTATTGAATATTGACAAAATAATGACTTTAACAGTCACCTTTATCAATTGCTAAATAGAAGGATAGAAATAATCCAATCGTACATCGCTAACAGTATTTGTTACATAATATTGAAATGTTTACTTTTAATAACAGTATTTTCCTAGCTTCGAAGTAGACGCAATAATTTCTTTTTTTAGTGATGAATATTATATTCCTGATGGTAATCAAGCTTTACGATCAACCCTGTATAAAAAAAATCCGAGAATCATATTAGCAAGCAAAAGCTACAATTTTTATTAATCCGAATTTCGATATCAAAAAAAAAAAACCGAAAAATCGTAAAAGCTTTTGTAAATAAGTATTTATAAAATTTTTAAACGTATTTCTTAGTATAACGTTAATTATGTAAATCTGTCGTATTCCTACACGAAAAAAGCAATCGTGGCGATCTATAAAGTTGAAAAAACAACCTGCAAGCAGAGATGAGAATGAAATTTTTTGTATATATTAGGATGGAGGTCAGATTTTATGGTGGAGCATGTGTGCCTTACATCTTGCCTATACAAAATAATGTTAAGACTAATTATTTATATATCTATATATGTATATCGACATTTTATGTACTTAATTTTTTTTTAATAAATATGCTCTAAAAAACCAACATCTGAGTTTATTTTGAATTTGAATTTTAGTGATATCTCTAGTGACTAGCTCCTAGTGTAAAATTTAGATATGGAATTTGAACATAACCTGTTATAAACACACGTGCAATATATTTAATCAACTCGATGAATAAGAACGGTGTGATGTCTGTTCAAAATGCTATACAAACGTTCACATCTATCATGTGTTCCTTAAATGGCATTGATCAGCAAGCTTTTTTATCATTTATTGCCGATAATTGGAAGCCTGAAGAAGTAAAAATTCAATCTCTTTCAAGGGGTATATATGTCACACTGATATTGTGTACAATACTATTGCCAAAACAGTAATTAAATTAACATTGTTCATAGGAGATTGTCACAAGAAATACAGTTCACAAGAAGAGCAATTAAAGAGTATAAAAAGAATTATTACTGATATCAGAGAGAGAGTACCATTTGATGGTATACTTTCATCAGAAAACATTGTACCACCAACAATTGGAGAGGTTTGCTATCTTGTAGAAAATAAAAGTGTTAAGTTTTTAAGTTAATCATTAGAAAAAAGGAATATCATAAGTTCCATAACTGTGCAGAATTCAGACTGTGATAATAAATCAACAAAGCATGTTGATGCATTTCTTTATGACAATAAGGAAGTCAATGAACTTATAGAAAATGGACAACTGGATAATTTATATTGTGTTGACTGTGGATCTAACAATGTAAAAGAATACAGTAAGAGACTCCTAATTTTTTTTTTCGATCTTTAATTCTATAATTAAAGAAATTAATTTGTTTTCAGACATCATATCACATTCTTTGTCAGTATTTGATATGTTGCATATATTTCATGGTGTTTTACCGCCTTTACAAGGCAAAACTCTACTTGATATAGGGTCCAGATTGGGCGCTGTTTTATATGGGGTAATTGTATTTACCCTTAAGTTCCATTTTCAAAAATTATATATACTATTTGAAAGTTTATTTTTTAGGCACACATATTCACATTTGCTAAAAAAATTATTGGAGTTGAAATGAATAAAGAACTTTGCACACTGCAATCTGATATAATAAAGAAATACAATATGAATGATCGTATTGAAGTTGTGAATAAAAGAATTGAAGAGTGTCCTGATATTATACAAAAAAGTGATATCATCATTATGAACAATCCATTTGAATTCTATGTCTCAGAATCTACACATATAGAAATCTGGAAATTTTTAAAAGCCAATATACAAAGAGGAACAATCCTGATTATCAGACCACCTATTGAAACCACTTTTAAAAGCCTAAAAACTGGAATATCCATAAATGAATGGGTAAAACCTTACAAGGCAGAAAAGACAGAAGGACTTGAAATATTTGAAGCATCAATTTTGGATCCTACTGAACATTCAAACATTCAATTTTATGAAGCACTATAATAAAACTACGTTACACATTTTAAAACGTATGATTTATTAAAAACAAGTATGATTTTTCTATATAAAAGAACTAGTAAAAACTTATTAATATATTAGCCATGAACTTCGTGGTATCTCGTCAATTTTCACGGTCGAACCGATACGATTATGGAATCTGACAAAAGTTATTCGTACAGGTGTAATCATAATACTGTCTCTTGCGTTAGTTGTAGGCGAAAAGCTTCTCTTCTAAGAGAACCGATTTCAATGCAATCGATCCCCTCCTTTTTATACAGGAACTCGAGTATAGGTAGTCGCCGCGGAGTGGTCAAGTTCAAATCTCGAGTTCAGTCGGCCATCAGCTGTGATTGATGTACAATCATTGCATATACACTGCTTTTCTCTATTACCACGATTACAAATTAATACCCATGGATGACGAGCGTCGATAAACGTCGGGAACGTTCGGCTGAATTGTTCGAATTCTGATTACAAAAGTCAGATCATTCCGTGGCGTAAACGGGTTCAAAATTTAACATGAAAATTTCTTTTTCTCCGTTCATATTTTGGTCGCATTCTCTAACCTTTTGCATTGAAATCGTTTGTAATCAATTTTATTTTATCGATCCAGAATAAAATGCAGAATACGACAACGAAATGGACAGGTAAGAGACGTACAATGAAATTAAAAAATATAAAATAACAGATGTATCCTTCTTCCTTTTTATACACCTTTGTAATAGTATGTATTCTGCATGAATCTTTCCTAATAATTTAGTCGTTTAAATACTATTGAGTTATTTCAAAAAAAAGATTTTGTATCTATAAGGTAATTTTTCTTCTTATCTGAAATTTGACAAATTATTCACTAAGCACTGTCCACCTGGAAATTAATGCAAACATATGATATGTGGTATTGCTTATTCGGAACGAACGAGTCATTAGCCTTGGACCGACATTGACCCGATTTCGACACAAATATGAGCCTGGCTACTAATTTCGCCTATAACCTTCCTTTTCTCGTGTCATATTCGAATTCCCAAACTAAAATCTTACGAAGTCTTCTCCCCGCTAATTCATCAAAATCTTCCCTCATTAGCAAGTATCAAAAGCGATATTTACGGATGCTCTTATCTCTGTTTCTCAAACAAGATCTGTTTTACTATACAGTGTTAGATTTATGAAAATAAACAGGAAAAACAAATTCATAAAACATTCTTTACTTCCAGTGATATACTTTTAGACATACATATATGCAATTTTATTTATTCGCGTCACATTTTGTTTTCACCGGTTAAAAAAATATACCGAGAATCCTGTGTTGCAATCTTATCTGCCCTCCTCAGGGTCCGATTTTGTGCATAATTAACAGGCATTCATGATAAAAAAAAAACGCTTGGGCGATATTGAGGAGCGAGAAAAAGAGATGAAGAAAAAAAAGTGCATAATTCTGCTCGTTGTTGCGGTGCGCATGATTATTTCGTACAATGAACACAGTCGAACGAAACGGTTGCAGCACAGATAGGCTCAAGTGGCCAAGGGGCACTTGAACTGACGAGATAATGGACCGATTGTCGAGAAAGAGAAAGAATGAAACGATACCGAGCAGTATACGCGCCGCCGGTTGCTGCAACCGTGATCATTCAATCGTACTTTCTTGTTTCTTTGCCTTTGATGACGCACTTGTGACGTCAATCGAAGGAGCAAGAAGCAACCCTGGCATACCTTCCATGCATCTCTCCCTCCGCATTTCTTCGACCCGGATATACGGTCCTTGACTCGTCGCTTCTAGTGAAACGCGCTTTCGTAAAAAATTATTTTCGACCAAAAACAAACATATTATTCGTACTCTTTTATATATTTTGCGATTAGAATATTTAGTTTAGCTATTCATCGATTTATTATCGATTTTCGAAGCTTGACTCAAAAAATTTGTTGTTACACTGACAGGGGAACAATGTGCTTACTTATTTTCATGGTTGTTGCAGTTTTCAATTACGAAAAACAATATAGAATTGTAGCAATGATTTCGTATGGGGAATAGCGACGACTTATGCGTAATGGTATAATTCCGAGATTAGATAAGCGCTCGTAATGACGGTGTTGGTATTGCAAAAATTTATGTTGCTTAGAATGTACTGCTATAAAGTCGCTTTATAGTTGTATTCTTTTACGGATCTGTAGAATTAAACGCGACTTGTTAAACAAAGTTTCTTATACTCATGGGTCTATGGATGTTCTTGACATCATTCTCCAAAATGTATTCCAAACGAAACGATTAGAAAAATATAGAAACCGTATCCATCAAAATTCATTGTCCAAATTCCTTTTTCGAGTCACATGTTTTTCGTTTTAGTCAGACGCTTCTGTCAAACGACATCATTCTTGCGAATCGATCACAAAACAACGTCGCGACCAACGTGAGAAGAAATCCTTTGAAGAAGAGGGTCAATTTCCTGACGAATATAAATCTAACGTACACATCGAACGTCGAAGAAGATCAAATCTACGAAACTAAATACGATCAACTTACGAATATAAAGAATTCTAAACAAAAAAAAGATAATTCAGAAGATCACAATAGGAATCCGTCTAAACCGAATTGCTGCCGATTATTCAAACCGGGTCAGACCATCAGGCTGCGTTTCCCATCTATCTCTCACGTGGTCCACGGAACTGAACATGGCGGCCTCTACTACCGTCGACGCCGCGGCCCCGATTGGTTCAGAGTCAGTGCGCGATGCGTCTCCCGTATTTCAAATCGAGGCTCCAGCAACCGTATATTGAGAGGACGATGCGTATCCTCTCGACGAGGCGTTCGATGTGACGTCCAACGTTCCTCGGCGTCTAAGGCAAGACAATTGAAACAGCTGGTACGCGGGCAAGCTTTCGAGAAGGAATCCAACGTCGCCGCCGCGGAGGAACCATCACGGAAGCAAAGTGTCGACCCGTTGTCCTCGAGCGTGCAAATCTCGCGAAAACGGCGTGTAGGCATCGTGGAGAATCAGTACGTCGCCGCAAACGACGCCGGTTCGTCGGTATGCGAGCTGGTGCGTGGCCTCGAACGGTTGCTCGGTGAGGAAGACGAAAGAATGAAGTCAAACAAGCAACAGGGCAGTGAGGAGAGCATTGTCGACCCAATAGAGGAAAACGAAACCTACGACGAATTCGACACGGTCAGGATGCCGGTTGTGAGATCCCTCAGCAAAAGTCCACAGAGCGATGAGGGTATCGAGACAGATTCTGACCGTAGAAGAGGCTCGGTAGCTCGTTGCTGGAGCCTCGATTCGGCCGCAGCCAGTGACGAGGATACGTCGTTGGCCACGCAACAACAGAGGCGGCACAAACTACGGGTCACTAGATGTTGTAGCTCCGACAGCGCGGTGCTAAGCGACGAGGATCAAATAAAAGGTGAGGGGGATAGTATCATGCCACCTTCCAACGGATTGGGGGGGATTCGTGTTAGAAACACGATTCCTGACCACGCGTGCTGTGTCAATGACATCATCGTTCCTTTCTTTTTTTTTCTTTATCGTTCTGATGACCTGTTTGTTTTTTTTCCGTTCCAATGACGGCACAATTAAAAGTCTTAAATCGTCTTTTTTTTTGCTTGTACCGTGTATAGATCTGAAATTTAGAATACCATTATGTCAGTGACATATAACTTATAAATATTTTAAAAGAAAAAATAGACTTATTTGGAATAGAAATTTATGAACAAATGTTTTACAGGATGGGACAGCTCAACCATGGTGGAAGGCAGTGAAGTTGAGCACAATGAGGGAAGACCAAGATATTGGAGAACACCAAGTGTGGTGATCAGTGATTATTCAGATTACTCTTACTTAGATGAGAAGCTTGAAAGGAGTGATCTGGATCTTGAGAAGTATGAGGGAACTAGTGGAACTCCCAGCCAAGCAAGTAGCTGCTCTTGCTTGGACTGTGATGAAATACGTGAATCTCTGGATAGTCAGTCCCTACAGGTGTGTCGTAGTAGACGATACTCAGACTCTTGCTGCATATGTCTTGATTCTATGAATGCCACTACTATAAGGTACTTATCTCTTAATTCTTTCATTCTTCTGAATCATGGTTAACATTTCAATAATGGGATCTTTGTACAGAAACTTCAATGAGCCTGGAAACAGAAGAAATTCTTGTCTGGACTCTGCTGATACCTACTACTCTAAGCTCAATACGCAATTCACACAGTACACTCCAGAAAGTTCATCAGAACTTCAAGAGAAGACCAAGGTAGATTTTTTGGACATTCCACCAGCAAGAAAAATCTCAGACTGCTCGACCACGTCTAGTCTTAGCGGGGACGAGTCTGATGTTACGGAACTACATCAAGTGAAATCTTCCAAGGTGAGTCGGGACATTGAAAAGTCATTCTTTACCTATCAAGCTCAGGATAAGAGTGTGTAACGCATTGTCTAATGCCAGGGGACACGTCGATGATTGATTTTCCCATTTATTTTTACAATGTCGCAAGTAGACCCGTTTCGAGGAAGTTTGCTTATCAGCGTCGATAGCTGAAGCTATTTTGAGGGAGAAAATAAATTGCAGGAAAAGAGAAAGAAATGAACAAGCGATAAGTAAAATTTACGCATGTCCATTGAACGAGCTTTTACCTAACGCTCTGACGTACGTCTATTCCAGGTGTATGAATATTTCAATGTTAGACCGTAAGAAAATGCCTATGTTTAGCACGATAGAGTACCACCACCACCACCACCACCACCATCACCATCACCAGACCACCAACCACAAACACATTGTTGTCTCGATGAACACGCACATAATTTATCTTACGCAACATCACGCTTCTTGTGCTCCAGTTCGCGAACAAACGGGCTGTTCATTCGTCGTCTACTACAGAATTCGTCACGATATTTAGAGAACATTAATGAATCGGCTACATGTCTGCTCATGGATCAACTTTTATCTGTTTGTTTATTCCTTCTTGAATAATTTTTCATTCTTCTATTTTTAACTCATGGTTTTTTTTTTATAAAGCTTTGGTGTTTGTTCAAACGATTACATATTTTGATAGGAAAAAGTTGAATAATTCGATGATGTTTTTAAAAGACTTGTTTTTGAAGATTTAAAGCGGTTGAAAATTGTTATTCCTATTGAGGAAGGTTCACGTAAGAGTCTGGCAGACGGAGGAGGCAGAATCTGTTATGCATACTTCTTCTTTGTACGTACAAACGTGCATACTTGTCTTTATCTACCTACTCATTTAACATACGGATCAACGTGTTTACAAACCCGTTGCGCACATGTACGTTCGCTTTGTGCATTCTTTGCGTGGGTTCAACCGATGTCCATGTTATTAATATGTTCCAACAGACTGCAACTACTGTGTACAATATTTTCTATTCCTTTTTTTCTTTCTCATAAACTTCAGACATATTAATTCGATTAATTGAATGATAAATATTAAATATTCCAATTGAAATCATTAAATATTTATAATATATTCCTGGAGAATCTTTGAAAGAAAAACGTTCAAATCCTACCATACCTCCTTATTAAAGAAAATTTATAGATTTTGTTTTACCTCTAAGCTAAAAGTACCCATGGTTAAAAACACGAACATTGAAGTAGTCTGATTATCATATACAGAGGAAAAACAGAGCTCTATTCATAACACGTCGCTATAAATTTTACAGTTCTTCTCTGACGCCTTCGCGGATTTTCTCTTTCTCATACATAGAACATTATCACCACAGCCAGCCAAAGAATTTAATCTCCATCCATTGCACAAATTGCATAAATCTACAAGTCAGATGAAACCTTCCAAATCAAGTTAAACATGCTTCTACCATTATCTATAACTATTTTTTTCAACACAACATTATTGTCGTCTAACACTATCCATTCCAGAAGACTTCATCCTCTATAAAAATCAATCTTCAACATCTTCACTTATGGAAATCATCACAAATAAGTCATGCAACTCATCTGAAAACGTTCAAAGCATTCAGAAATTCCAGAAGACTCCGTTCTTCAGCAAAATCCTTCTCCAATTTCTCCACTTATGGAAATCATCACAAAGACGTGAAACTCTTCTGAAAGCGTTCAAAGAGTGCGACTTGTACTTTCAAATACCGTTCTATTCTGTGCTGTACTGCATTCAGCTGCAAAAGTGGAAGCCACGACACCTCTCGAGTCGTTTCTACCACAGTGGTCGCGGTAACAGGGATCAATCAGTCAGTCGGTACAGCGATTTGCGGTCAGTCAGTCGGCGGTACGGGTTTCTAGGGGATCTGTCGGCCAGTGTCAGCCCCGTGGTGCTCCCCATAACGCTCATTGTCATTGTCAGAGTGTGTAACGCGCGGTTTTGTCCGCGGGTTCCGTGGCTGACCGCCTCTTGACGACCAATCGGCCGATGACTCGCTAATGTTTCGAGAGAATTGCAGGTGTCCCGCTCTGAAACACTTCTAATTGCAGGAAAGAGGTGTACAAACGGTTGGAACGTTTTCAACAGAGGTGAAACGAATTTTTTCCACTCACAGAGGAAGCTCACTGGTCCAGTGTAGAAAGAAATTTTAAAAAATCTCTGTGAAAGTGTAGAAGCTTAATGTTTGTTGTTTCTGATAATTACGTGGAAGAGGCTGCGTGGTAAAACGTGATTTTTAAATAAACCTTCTGTGTATATTATGAGTGTGGCCTCGATGGAAGGTATACTTTGGATATTTTTATCGCATGGAAGTATATTCGCATGAATTAAAACTGGTGGTGGAACGCGAGGATCAGTTTCTGTTCAATTGTTCTTCACCTTTGAGGCCTTCTAGATACTTTGCTCTTTAGTAAGATCATCCATAAATCACATAAACTGAAAGTTTATAATCTAGTTATATGTCTCTTCTTCTTTAACAAAATCTTCGCTTTTAAAATTTGCAACTGTAAGAATCATTTTAACTGAGATGATCGTACATTATCTCTCTTAATAGAGTGTGGAAGTGGTCTTTAAGGCAGATCGTTCCTCAAAAGAACAAAACAACAGAGATAAAGGTGTAGCTGTCAGGTTTTTCGTTTGGCTATCGTCTAGTGAAGCTCAGTAACTCGCTTTGTTCGCGACCTGCTGTCATCAGATAAACGCAGACTTCCTAGAAGGTGTTTCGCGAGACCACGAAAACTTATCGTTAAAATTGCCACGTGATAAAACGAGTTGTAACGTCCCCGAGATTTAGCAATCGGCCAGTGTTTCGTTCACGACCTGTACACGCAGCCATGCGACTTAGCACGCTTCCTACAATCGCGTTTCCAATGAAAATTTTGTGTTCCAATAATTGTACGCGCATTCTAATGCACGCTAGGAAGCATCGCAGGTTTCGTGGACGTGCTAATAGTGAAATACATTCAGTGAACTCGTTAAAAATTGATCCTAGAAATGACGCAGAGCTCAGTCTTGAAGAGATCCTTCATAGGAACGTCGATCGAGATTATTACAAGTTATTTCCGGTGAGTCGTTTCGTTTAAAGCTTCGAGAGAATATTAATTTTTTTAATATTTAAATACAAAAGATTATCGAACGTTGAGACTGATTCTAATACGGTCACTGTGTGATCTCACTTTCTACGCATCGGATGACCCACAAAAATAAGTATTCAGGGATGTAACAGTCATAAAATAGGAGAGTATCGTCCAATCGTAGAGGTACACGGCTCGATTCTAAAGTAGATAAAGAAAAGATAAAAGCACATGTTTATTTCGAACTTCGACTTTTGTTTCGGTCATTTTCATAATAATTCAGACAACAAACATGCAATCAATAATTTTTATCTACCTATATTCAAAAATGTCATTTTTAAGTTTTTCCAATCTCTTTGTAAATTTACATTCCTTTCTGAAATCTTCTAGACGATCAGGATTAGAATCATGTATTACTGGTCAATGAGACCGATAGGCAAATTGCTCATTAAATATCAATTATCAAACTATGACTGCATTTTATCGTAGTTACGTATCAGAGATAGAGAAAACGATCATGGCAGGAGATTCGCGGCGCAGGGACTGTGTCAAACGCGTTATGAATAAAACATTGCGCGGCGTGACTGAAAATAATATTACGGTTGAAAATTCCGCTGCTCGCCGTTGTGGCCTCTCGCTTTTAAAACGTTACGCGGCCTGCTTCTCTTCCGTGGATTGACCCGAAAAAGGCGATGGTTCGCCCTGCGCCGCTCACAGAACTGTAGCTTGACCTTTCTTCGTGAGAGAGAAAGGAAAATCGTGCAAACGCTCGCGTGTATTGATCCTTTTTGTTTACCCTGTCATAGCACAGTGTATTTTTTAGGCTATCAAATGTCACCCCGGGGTGTTTCAAAGTAAATAGTTCTGCAGAAATTCATCGAGATACTTCCAAGTACATACTATGTATCTAGTTCAGGGCTGTAAAATTAAAATGTTCAAAAGAGAAGTTAAAGAAGTTTCATATTTGCAGTAATGAAAATCAGTACGGGTTAATCAGTCCTGTTGAGTTTATGAAAGACCTCAGTTTGCCCATCCAAGGTTAATTTTTTTTTTTCATCTTACCGTGTGTTCATTTTCAAAATAAAGTCAACGACAAAATTAACCTAAGAATTATCTGATATTACTCGAGGCAATCGTAAAACCTACGTCTTCTTCATCTTGTAGAAATTGGAACGGTACCACGCGATTCTTGTTGACAACAACAAATTCCAGATACCACCTCCCACAAAATGATAATCGTGATAAGAATAAGTAACTCGTTGCTTTTATCATGAAGAAAATATCGATGAGGGAAATCTTTATTTTAATCGCATAAAAATTACTACGATAGATCTGTAGGGATAGGGATTTCAAAAGCGCCATTTTACATTATATCGAACGGTTCGAGATTCTTTTAACGGCTGCTCGTGTTTTCGATTCGTTCGTCGACCTGAGAGGAATATTTATTGAGCAATCTGTCTATGCAGTTCCTTATCCACCTTCTTGGAAGATTACCAATCCCCAGGCCTGACATGATCATTTATACGGTTGAGTTATTGATCGACCGGATCATAGAACCGCCGATAGCGATGTTTCCACATCTGGATCATCGATAAAACCTCGTTTTTTTCTTCGTTTCTCTTTTCGAATATGACATCTGCGTATCAGATCGGAGGATTAATGGTTAGGTTAGGTCGGCTGATAGATAGAAATGCCATCTAAGTGTTTCACGGTATGCTAAGTAGCTTTAGATTATTCCCTGTCATCGTTTCGAATTTAGATTGCTTATCTTTTGTAAATTTTATCAGTATTCGTATTTCTCGAGTGTACACACTATATAATGTTGTCTCTAAAAGCCTGATCAAGCTCCTTTCAGCTTCTTTATCCATCGGGTTTTTATTCATTTT